CCAAGCTGACCCATGGAGACCAGGATTCCATAAAAAAGAAAAACCCTCTACTGACAGTTTCCAAAGACAAGGGCTTAGTGAAATTGTATGTAGATCTAATGAATTATTAAACTTTGTTTAACCTTTAAAAATGAGTGGTACCAGATGTGGTGGTTCATGCCTATAATCCCAACTATTTGAGAAGCTGAGCAGGAGGCTGTTAAGTTCAAGTTCATCCTGGGCAATTTAGCAAGACCTTGTATCAAATAAAATAAAAGGGGTGGGCGCAGAGATATGGCTCAGTTGGCAGAGTGCTTACTTAACATGCACAAAGCCCTGAGTTTGACTTCCAGCACTGCATAAACCTGGAGTGGTAGTGCATGCCTGTGACCCCAGAACATGGGAGGTGGAGGCAGGAGATCAGAAGTTCAAGATCATCTTCAGTTACATGCCAAGTTGGAGGCCAGCCTGGGCTATATAAGACCTTGTCTCAAAAAAGAAAATTAAATTAAAAGGGAGGCTGAAAATGTAGCTCAGTGGTAGGGCACTTGCTTAGCAAGTGAGACCCTGGCTTCAATCCCTAATGGCTCCCAACTAATGATAGAGAAGTGCTTTCATTTTTTAAATTACACTTTATTTATTTTGGTATTTTTGGACAGCTGTAGCCCCAGCTGGCCTGGAACGCACTATGAAGACCAGGTTGGCCTTGAACTCACAGAGATCAGCCTGCCTCTGCCTCCCTAGTGCTGGGACTAAAGGCATGCACCACCACACTTGGCTATATTTTTTAAAAAAGATTATTTTGTGTGTGTGTGTGTATGTGAGAATGAATACCATGTGTTTACCGGTGCCCACAGAGGCCAGAAGGGGGTGTCAGATCCCTAAGAGCTGGAGTTACAGATGGTTGTGAGATGCCTGATATGGGTGCTGGGAACCAAACTCAGGTATGCTAGAAGAGCAGCAAGTGCCATTAAAAACTGAGTAATTCCTCCAGCCTCACATTTTAAAAAGCTAATTAACTAATTTTGTTTATGTGTATATATGTGTATACTTGAGTTTATGTGTACATGCATGCATGTGGGTGCCATTGGAGGCTAGAAAAGCACAGGGGATGGAATGGGGTCTTCTGTAAGAGCAGGGAATATTCTTAACCACTGAGCCATCTCTCCAGTCCCTATTATATTTATTTGTATGCATATTTGTGTGGGAACATTTGTGCCACAGCTCTTGTGAAGATGTCAGAAGACAACTTGTGGGTCAGTTCTGTCCTAGCATTGTATGTCCCAGTAATCTGATTCAGGCTGTCAGGCTTGGAGGCAAAGGCCTTTATGCTCTGAACCATCTTGCAGTCCCCATGATTTCATTTTTTAACATATAAAACCATGTTCATTCTTTTCCAGTTTTTATATTAACGACTTTCAAACTTACAGTGAATTTAAAATTATAGCACAACAGGGGGCTGGAGAGATGGCTCAGCAGTTAAGAGCACTGACTGTTCTTCCAGAGGACCTGGGTTCTATTCTCAGCACCCACATGGCAGCTAACAACCATCCATAACTCCAGTTCTAGGGGATCCAATGTTCTCTTCTGGCTTCTGCGGGCTTTGCACAACATGGGTGCACTCATATACATGCATACAAAACACTCATACACATAAAATAAAAATAATTAAAAAAAACTATAGCACGCCGGGGGTGGTGGTGCACGCCTGTAGTCCCAGCACTTGGGAGGCAGAGGCAGGCGGATCTCTGTGACTGCCTGGTCTACACAGTGAGTTCCAGGCCAGCTGGGGCTACAGGGAGACCCTGTCTCAAAAAAAACAAAACAAAACAAAAAAAAACCAAACAAACAAAAAAACTATAGCACAACAAAAACCTGTATTCTCTTCACCTAAACTCTCCAATGAATAATTTTTTATACTTGGTTTATCTCCCGCTTTATGAGTACAGATGTATATATTTACATAGATGTATACATATGTCTAAGTGTGCACATGTGGAATACTGAATCACTTGATGGTCACAGGTGTCATGGCCCACACCCTTAAATTCTTCAGTTTGCATTTCTCAAGAGTAAGTTTTCCAATGTAACTCTCAAGACCGTAATCAAACCTAACACAGTATCCGTGGAATACTGTTATTCACATGCAGTTTATATTTATTCCCCCCAATGTCTTTTATAGTTTTTGTGAATTCAGAATTCAAATAATGAAGACAATGCTGTAAGACCTGTGGGAATCCTCATCTGCAACATTTTGGCCAATAGTTGCATGAACAATAATTCTTTAACTTTAAAAAAAATTTATGTGCATGAGTGTTTGGCTTGTATGTATCTAAGTGTACCACATGTGTGTCATACCCACGGAAGCCAAAAGAAGGCATCAGATCCCCTGGAACTGGAGTTACAGATGTTTGTTAGCTGCCATATGGGTGCTGGGAATTGAGCCCATGGCCTCTACAAGAGCAGCCAGTGCTCTTTTTAAAATATTTTATTGGGGCTGGAGAGATGGCTCAGCAGATAAGAACACTGATTGTTCTTGCAGGAGACCCTGGTTCAAATCCCAGCACCCACATGGCAGCTACCAACTGTCCATAACTCCATTTCCAGGGGATCCAACAATCTCTTCAGCCCTCAGCAGGCATTGCTTGACATGGGTGCATTTACCTACATGCATACACATAAAAATAATTTTAAAAATAAAATATTTTATTTTTTGGGGGCTAGAGAGATGGCTCATCAGTTTAGAGCACTGTCTGCTCTTGCAGAGGACCCAGGTTTGAGTCCCAGCACCCACATGGTGGCTAACAATTATTCATAATTCCAGTTCCAGGCGATTTGATACCCTCTTCCAATCTCTGTGGGCAGTGCACCACAGGGGTGCACTTACACACATGCAGGCAATACATTCATATACATAAAAATAAATTTTAGTTTTTTTTCTTTTTTGGGTCTTTTGAGACAGGGTCTCCCTGTAGCCTCAACTGGCCTGGAACTCACTATGTAGGCCAGTTTGGCCTCGAACTCACAGAGATCAGCCTGCTTCTGCTGGTATGGTCGTTAAAGGCTCAGGCTCACAGCTGCGTGCAGTAGTGCACGCCTTTAATCCCAGAACTTGGGAGGCAGAGGCAGGCTGATCTTTGTGAGTTCAAGGTCAGCCTGGTCTATATAGTGAGTTCCAGGCCAGCTGGGGCTACAGGGAGACCCTGTTTTTTTTTTTTTAAAAAAAAAGACTCAGGCTGACAAATAATTTAAAAAAATATTTTATTTTTATATGTATCTAAGTGCACCCATGTCATGCAGTGTCCATGGAAGTCAGAAGAAGGCCTTATATTCCCTGGAACTGGAGTTGCAGACAGTTATAGCCGCTATGTGGGTGCTGGGAACTGAATGTGGGTCCTCTGTAAGAGCAGCCAGTGCTCTTAACCACTGAGCTGTCTTTCCAGGCCAATGTTCTATCTTGAACGATTGCATTTTCTGACTTCATAAATTTTCTACCTTAAAATTATCATATATGTGCATATGTATATGATGTGTGTGGACTTGTATGCCACAGCACTCATGTGGGTATCTTTTTTTTTTTTTTTAACATGGATTCTGTGGCTCAAACTCAGGTCAACAGGTTTGCATTGTTCAGCACAAGTGCCTTTACTTGGGGAGCCATCTTGGCTGCCTCAAATTTTCTACATTTGCTAGCTGGCATTCTTCCAGTTTCCCATCCACAATTCCTTTCTTTTATTTGGGTTAACACAGTGGACTTAGGAACTGTCATAATTTATGTTGTATTTTCTAAACTTTATTATTGTGTACGATGTGTGTCTGCATGCACATGCCAGACTGAGTGTGTAAAGGTCAGAGGACAACTTTGTAGAGTCAATTCTTTCCTTCCAGCATGGGTTCTGGGTTTCAAAGTCAGGCTGGTATGGGAGCACATTTACCTGATTTGGGCTGCTGGCTCTGATGTATTTCTGAAGTTTAAATCACTTCAAGTTTGTGCAATGGAAGCCTCTTCAAGCACTAATTTCTTTCCATGGTTTCTTGTACAGTATGTCTTTGGGCTCACCTTCTACCCCTCCTGCTCCAGACCTAAAATCAACCATTTCTTCAGGGCCTTACAGGTCACACCCGCACATGGTTCAGTTCTCCAAATTTTCAGAAGGATATGCTGGGCGAGGTGACACAAGACTTTAATCCCAGCACTCAGGAGGGAGGCAGAGGCAGGTAGATCCAGTGAGTTCCAGGCCAGCTGGGGCTACAGGGAGACCCTGTCTCCATAGAACATCTCTCCAACCCTATCCCTCTTTTCATAAGTAGCCAAAGCTATTTGTTATTCTTTCATAGTTAAAAAACAGAATGAACCCACAGGGAGATAAGTCTTACCAGCCACCGATGTTTTAACTCAAATAGCAGTAAACTGAACTCACTAGGCTTGTCTGTGCTTGAAATTTTTGTCTGTCACTAGATTCTGAAAGAGGCCTGTGACCCCATCCAGAGCAGGTAGGCTGCTTTAAGTCCCACAAGTTTCAGATGAGAGAAGCCCAGGGTGATAATAAACTGACCCAGGTTGCATTAACTAAGCACAGGTACATGCTATTCTAACTTGGTCCTTGCTCACACTCTAGCCTTGTTGACACCTACTTAACTTTGGAACACCATTTCCTTTGGGCCGCCTTTCCCTTTCCCAATGTGACTCTCTCAGCTAAACTAGGAGACGTCCCCCTAACGCATATGCTACTGCGTTTAATTTGTTATGGATTCCATCTGTCTTGCTCGGTAACGGCACACCGTAGTCACTCATGAAAAATGTGGGAAGTAAAACTCGAATCCAGGCCCCCCAGCTACCAGACTGTTCTCTTCTTTCTTCCCCTTGCGGCTGAAGATGTAGCTCCAAAGTGTAAATTTTAAAATCTCAAAGGAAAAAAACAAAACCAAACCAAAAAACTAGGGAGTTTTTCTATTAATAGAAGACCTTAGCAGAAACAGCTCAACTCGAGGCGTGGCCACCGCAGGAGGGCGTCAATCAAGAAAATGCCCCTTTGCCCCAGAGGCGAGCGAAGCGGTACGGCGCCTAGCACACCGCGCAATAGAAAACATGTGCGGAACCGCGGAGCCCAACTGCACGCAGCTGTGTTCTCCAAGGCCCGGGGACTGAGGACCAGCAGGAACCCCCAATGGATCAAGAAGTTTGCAATGTTCCAGGCCTCCCCTGGATTCCTGTCTGGAGCAACTTCTGCCAGCATCCCAGGGCGGGTGGGCTGAGTCCTGCATCCCCAAAGGCAACCCGCTGGAGCAGCCCGGAGTCCCGAGCACCTGCAGTCTAGACGTCAGTACCTTGGGGACACAGGCAAAGACCAGGGCTTGAGCCTCGGAGGCGCCCCGGGCACTAGCCAGTGAGTGCCACCGTTATCCCAGGAAGCGCAGCCGTCTGGGATGGTGCTGTGGCGCCTGCGAAGGTGCGGCCCAGGACGGAGGCCGGGACAGAGCCCTGAGTCTCCGCAGAGGTACAGGGGCTGGGGCTGGGGCTGGGGCCGCGGCCGCTTGCACTGGCCGGGGCTGGATGCTTGGTGCATGCCTCTCTTCGACGGGCCGCGGGGTGCCTGGAGCCGGGAGAAGCCGGAGCGGCTGCGGGACAGGCGGGAGCAGGTTCGCGGGAGCCGGCGAGTCTGGTCTCGGGGGGGCGGGGAGCTAGGCCGGCGGGG